TCTCCGGAACAAACTAAAGGAATAAAAAATACGGCAAAAAAAAAGGAACAGGAAAGAAAAACCGAAACAGGCTTCTTTTTTTTCCCCTCTCCGGAACAAACCAATTCTTCATATTCCTTATTTATCCAATTATCCTATACCTTACTTAGTTACTTTATGATTAATACGTCGGCCTTGTTAACAGCTCATTATGAAGTTGTTATCCATTTCATTTACATTTTCAATTAGAAGTCATCAAATTTGCATACTGTCCTCATATCATACGGTTGTTGGCTGCTTGTTTGATCATGGTCTTTGGTTCTTTTAAAGGTGGTGATGGTGGCGGGGCTACGAGAGGGGTTTGTGCGAATTACTGGAGTACTCGTCTATTTTAGGTTCATATTATAAGTAAGTGAAATCCTTATACCCGTATAAACAAAGTGGCGTGCTCACGTTTTCCCGTGCAGCTAGCACGGAAATTTTATACATTTACACGGTTTACGGGGACTATAGCTGCATCGGAGACGATATATGATTTTACGGTGAAAGATGTCGATGGTAAGGAAGTGAAATTAGATAAATACAGGTTTGCTGTACTTGTATATTACTTTACAGAAGATTTTATTTAGAATATAAAATACGTATAAATCATATGACCAAAACATAACGGACTTTTTTGTCATGTCCTTTGTTCTTATAAAGAATATGACAAGAAAGTTTGTTGTGTTTAGTCACCTGACTTATGAGTATTCTACATTATATATATTCATCTATTTTATTACAGAGGAAAGCCGGTTGTAATTGTTAATGTTGCTTCACAATGTAAACTTGCTGACAGCAACTATAGAGAGCTCAAAGAATTACAAAAATTTTACAAAGATGAAGGACTCGTTGTTGCTGCATTCCCATGTAATCAGTTCGGATCACAGGTATGATTCTCTTTTCATTTTTCTGGTTTATAATTATAGTAAAAGTTGGAGGAGTAATCTTCGTTGGCGTTCGACTTTGATGGCTTTTTATCTTGAAAATTGTTTCTTGATTTCTTCTTTTTAAATCGGTATCTTTTATTCTTGTGAATTTTCCGTGTTAAATCGAAATATTCATTTACTTTTATCTCTAAATGTTGTGTTAAGGTTATGTGCAGATTTGTGGGATTAATTGCTTAATTAACTATGCTATATTAGAGAAAGGGATAAACAACTCTGAGTAAGCAATGTGGAAGCAGGATTTGTTTCTGTTGCAGGAACCGAGTGATGGAGTTGACATCAAAAAAAGTGTAAAGGAAAAGTACCACTATGAACCTGATATCTATGCCAAAATCGAGGTTAATGGTGAAAATACCCACCCGTTGTACAATTTTTTAAAAGAAAAACAAGGTGGCACTTTTGGTAAGAAGATCAAATGGAATTTCACGAAATTTCTCATCGATCAAGATGGACATCCGGTGAACATATTTTGATCATTTCAGAAACTTCTTTATTCAAGCTTCCTTTGCAAAAAGTAGGCATGGATTAGAATCGGCTAATTTTCAATTTTTCCATACAAAATAATTGCTGTAATCGACATTTCATCTTCGTGAATTTTCTTAAGTACGAATTTTTTCGATGGGAAGCAGTATTAACAACCTTGTTTTACATGTTACATCATTTCGAAATCTTGATATATCATTTGGCAGATTGGCATATTATGGTTATGGATTTCGGTAATGATGCCCAAACACACAATGGGATTTATTATAAAACCTATTCTCTACATATGAGTTTTTTTACTGAAAACTAATTTCTTAAACATTTCAGGTGAAACGCTATGCACCAACCACTTCGCCAATGACAATAAAGCATGATATAGATTCACTGACTGATGGCAATAAATAACCGCGAAAGGTTGTAATCGTTTTTTGATATCAGTTTTATTCTTGTATGTTAGGCTTTTTATGGACTTGGTTATTAATTCTATCAGTCTCGTACTTCTTTAGATATCCAATTTCCGATGTTCAATTTTCTTAGGTATCTATTTTTTTCATTACATATGGTGCAAAAAATGAAGAACTTCAATGATAAACTTATCTTTCAAAAGAACTGAATGTCCATATTGACGTTTTCTTTGTACAAACTTGATTTTTCCTCTTTTTGCTTCATAGTCATGCTTTGTTATCTTTTGTCGAGTTAGATACTCCAAATTTTGTGAATTTACTGATTTTATTTGCAGTACATGATCGCTGATTAATTTAGACAAGTTGGAATAAATTAGCTCATATCCTTAGCCAGTTTGTAGATTCATCAAAATACATCAGGTGATGCTAAGATCCAGGCTTTGCTGTCAGTGATATCCTTTGCTTTACTGAAGCTGTAAACAATTCATCATTTGGCATTTTGTATGGCTTCAAGGATTCAACTGGGTCCTAGGAAAGCTGCGGTGCTTTAAGTTCCAGAGGTCGAAGAACCGACGATTTGATAATGAATGGAATATTTCTTTGACTTGTTATATCGATGATAAATGATACGATTTGAACAATCGGTTAGCTATATAAGGCAAGCGATTTCAAAGGTCCTGTATTCTGCCATTTCCAATAGTTGATTATAGCATAGTTGGAGCAGCTGTAGTACCAACTAGGGCTACCATTCAGGTGATTGATAGAGGTGAAATGTTGTTGAGGCTCGTTTCAGATTTCAATGTGCTGTTTTTTTCTTCTATATAGCAATAGAGATAGTGAGTATGCGTGAGTCATGATCGGTGATACCTTATGTAAACACCTATTTGATAGTTATTTTGATACTGAGCTCGATTGATTGACTTCAACTTGTTTACAGTTTTGCTATCATCTTTTACACTCTGAGCAATCAACAAAAATATTCTTTTTGTTTTTATCCAAGTAAAAGTACATATGTGTAGTGAGTCCGATCTTTCCTAGTGCATATCCTATTTAAAAGAAATTTGTGTCCATTGCGTCTTGCAGTTATTATAATTGATTTAATCGGTGTTTCACTCTTGAGAATAATATCTGCAATATTACTGGATCAGTAGAATGTAGAAATAACAAATTATTAAGAGCAATATTGGTTCTTGTAATAACTTGTTAATGATTAGATCCGTAGCATAAGGCATCTTCTACCTTTTCTATTCTCGATGAATGTTTCGCGATAATGTGCTCGCTTGTTCAGTCTCTTTATGACCTGCGATAAGCCTTTTTACAGTATCCAAGAAACACTGCTAGTGACAGTAATCAGTTATTTGTGAAGATGTCTTCAGCAAAAACAATTTATGATTTCACTGTGAAGAATGCAGATGGGAAAGATGTTTCGCTCGAAAAATATCGGTTTGTTAGTGAATTAATTTATTCTCGGTTTCGGAACCTTAATTGATGAAAATTGCTCTCACCGCAGGAATTTAGCTTACATCATGAATTAGGTTGAAATTATTCACTTTACGTCATTCCAATATGTTTCGTAAACCAATGGGTCGTGTCATATTGTTCTCATTTTGCCATAAAATTATATATTAGAAGGTATTAAGAGTTGGTAGTCAAAGATCAAATGTTGCTATTTGTAGATATGAATTGGTGGCCCAGTTTAGCAACTATCATGAAGAATCTGACAAAAATGTTTAAAAAAAACAGATTATTCGATCAACTTAGGTTCAAAGTTAATTTCAGTAATTGTTAGTTAGTGTGTCAGGAAAGAGCAGTAATGGTAATTGAGATCTGAATTCAGTTAAAAAAGAAAAAGAATTATTGTTTAAATCATTTAAAATAAGTCCCCATTGGGCAGACGTTAGTCGGTATAAATTAATAATAGTTTTGTCAACGAATGGCATCGAGTAGAATGAATAAGGATTGAAAAGATGAGTTTTTTTCGTAGTGCTTTGGATTTAAAATGGTGTACTACTGTATGGAAAAGTGAGATTGCAAATGAATTGTCCTAATCAACAGGCTATTATGAAACTGTGTATCTCTTCCATGACTTCATGCTTGTCGTCATACGTCACCTGTCAATTTTTACTTAACTTGTTAATCATGGTAGTTATTAGTGTTGCAGAGGTAAACCAGTAGTAATTGTAAATGTTGCATCACAGTGTGGCTTGACGAATTCCAATTATACCGAGCTCAAAGAATTGATGGAACATTACAAGGATAAAGGTTTAGCAGTAGCAGCCTTTCCGTGTAACCAGTTCGGTGGGCAGGTTTGTTTTTTTTTCTGAAATTTGCAATCTTTTCATTGATTATTTCGCTAACATGCCGGGTAGATTAAACGTTTGTTTTTTTTCTGGGTTTACGAGAATAATAGGATGCATACAGGCACATTCACTTTGTTTTCGCAAACTTTGGTAATCAGCTAGTAAGAAGTCCATTGTAGACTAATTTAGTCTATATTTGACAAGACTAGAGTCGATTTATTCTTGAATTCATGCAGTTAATGTGTTTGATGTTAAAAGAAGGGGAAAGGTAATTGAATTTTCAGTGGAAGAAAACAGAAATAAGGAAGGAAAAAAAGCTTCTCTTAATAAGCAGTTATCCTGCGTACTTGAATCATTTTTTTATTCCTAACGCACTGTATTACCAGAATAAGTAGATAATATAAACAAGGCTTGGACGCCGTCTTTGTTATTTTACCAAGCAATTGGTTAATTTTAATTCTGTAACAATTCTATAATTTCTCAGTGTTGCTGTTTAGTTTTCATGCCACAGACTAAAAACCAAAAATTAGTTGGCATCGGTATCACCTGTCACTTCAGAAGAACTGCAGTACTTTTGATTTGGCGGTTTAATTAGTAGATAAAATGAATAAAACAGTTTCTTAATCAATTTCAAATATGTCACGATATGATTCATATTGTAGAAGACAAAATGTTCGCTGTTAACGTTGTTCACTTTTTGTGCAACCAAAAACAGCTCGTTGCAGGAATCAATTGTTAAAGCAATAACTTGACACTTTTAGGAACCAAAGTGTGAATTGGAAGTAAAAAGCTTTGTTGCTGATAAATTTCATTTTGAACCTGATTTATATGGCAAAATTGATGTCAATGGTAAAAATGCTGCACCGCTGTTTGATTTCTTGAAGCACGAAAAGGGTGGATTGTTTGGTGATAATATCAAATGGAATTTCACAAAATTCCTGATTGACCAGGAAGGACATCCGGTTGGTATAATGAATTTTTGGTCATTTAAACCAAAGGATATGTAGTGGTTAAAATAAGGTTAATTCATGATTGCTTTTTTTTCACGGATGTGGAGATGGACAAGCGAGAAAGCCTCTTCTGATCTAATTTTAGAAATTTTCAATATTTCACATTTGTTCATATTAAGGGTGTGCTAAATCCATAATGTAGGGTTGATAATTAGTCATCCTTATCGCTAATTGTTAGAATCATGAAAGCAGTTTTGGTTTCAAGCGTCATGTCGTTGTCGACTGTCGAAGGTTTTGTCATATTAATTTCATGTATGGATATTTTCTTATAATTTATTCTGCAGCACTCTTATATTCTGCATTATATGCTGCTTTCCATAGCCATTCATTGCGTAAGAAATAACCATTCCTGTTACTTGAGGCGATGATAATTCACACAGTTCTGGCTGTTGCTTACGAAATGATCATTTCCTAAAAATAAGGAGTTTTCCCATCTGTAAAAGTTTGCGAAAATTCGAAAAAACGAAGAATTAGTAAAAAGAAATATACAGCATAACTTCCGTTTATTTGGTAAAAGCGAAATACCGAACCTCAGTTCACTATTTGATGATATGAACGTGCAGTTCGAGAGCACCGCAAAGTTTATTTTTAAAGGTTCCTTCAGTGGATAGAGTTTGTTTGCTGTACTTGCGAGAAGGATTCGTATTCTATGTGATTTGCAAATTCATTGCTCTAAGTGTTTCAGGTAAAGCGTTATGCACCAACAACTTCACCCAAACATATGATGAAAGACATCGATGACCTTCTCAAGAATTGAAATTAGTTCCTCTTATCGGAAATTATCGCCCGTAATTCGATGGAAAGATGTAATTAGTGCATGTTGTGAGAACCGTACATTTCATTCATTTTGTAATACTTACTGGAAGTTTTCTGTCTCATCCATTTTAGAACCGTACTTTCTTCAATTTCCCCCGAGATTATTTCTCTGCAGTTTCTTTCAAGATTATTTCTCCACCTTTGCTTTTCTCTTTTCCATTGCTTTCTTTTTCGGTATCATTGTAACTACTTTAACAGTACTTCATTACTGTTACGGTTAGCACATTTTCCTTTGACATAAAAACCTTTTCCTAGCCTTAAATTGAAATACTTTATCATTTTGCAGAAATACATGAAAAAAATGTTATAAAATTGTGGATTCATAGTGTTCTGAGAATTCTCTCATGTGGTCTGCAATTCTGAATTCCAGTTCACAAACCTAAATTTAGTGCAGTTCCTCTCTTTGTTCGTTGGTTAAAATGCTATAATTGCTTTGAAGCATGCATAAAGTCTTCCTCAGGGCGATAAAAAACAGATCACATGAGTTTTCAGGGTTATATTACTACGGTCAATTTATAAAATAACAATTACGACCCTATGGAGGTAAACAATTTGGGTAGACTTAGTTTAGGGTAAACATTTATTTAGAAGGGTAGTCATAAACAGAAGTTGGCGCAGACAGTACTGCTTTGTAATTCCCAGTGCCTATACTTTAAATATGTGACACATTCATTTGATGCATATAATTTTTTGCTAATGCTGCGTCTATGTATTTCTCAATCTATATTTATCCCTTTAACTGTAATAAAACACTTCACAGATACAAATTTTATCCCCTAATGATAAAAGCTCTTCAAAAGATTAATATGTAACAGATAAAACAGAACAGTTGTGAAAAACAGCCAATCTCACAACAGTCATTTTAATGTACAAAAAGCCCTTCAAGGATCCGTAACCTTCAGCGAGGAATTTCAAATATACTTCAATTCTTCCCTCTTTCATATTCTGTACTAAAATTTCGCTTACCTGAAAAGGCTGTAAATAGGAGCTTTATTTGTCATCATAATTATGCTTGCTCATTTGGAATTGTCTGGGACCCTATTACACCTGAAATGTGGTACCGGCGATCCAACCGAACAAATATTTATTCATGACCTTACTTTCTGTACAAACCGAACATCGTTCACTAGGTTGCAGTATTTTCGAACGCTTTAGTGAAATGAACTGTTCTCGCTAACATCTGTCGATTCTAATAAATAGCCTCAGAGATAAAGATGAAAAGTAACTATTCGAACAGATGGTACTTTTAAGAGAGCTAAATAATTGGAAACATATCGACAGTTGCGATGTGCAGTTCTCAGACGAAATTTTTTTTTGTGGAGTTACTTCAGAGGAAGTTCCCTCGAGTCCATAATAACGACTTATTGTAATCGATAGATATGTGTAAACCCAGTGAACAAGAACACGTGAGCATAGTGGCAATGTCCGGAATGAATTTCCAGGTAACAAAGAACAGGAAGACGATATCCAATTGATGTCCCTTACCGATATAGAGTATCGCCAAAATTAATTCAAGCATCTGGTAAGGATATGTCGAGAAGACAGCTCTCACTTCCACTCTAAATGTAAGGACTTTCTAAAGTCCACTGTCGTGAAGACAGAATGGATCTCTCCAACGTAAAAAGACATTTATTTACGCGACCATTCAAATAATTTGTGAAATGAAACTGTTCTAATTAAAGAGAAATTCATTAGAATTTAAATTAAGTAACATGTCCGCAATAAAGTGTCTGCTCACAACATCATATTGTTAAACTTGAGCAGCACATGATATTACTGAAACATTGCACAAATAACATTTCACAAATAAGTGATATAAAACCAATAGAATTTACAAACACAGCAGCCGATATGCATAACACAATAGACAATTATTGTTTGTCACTTTTGAATTGGATTGGAATATTTTTAAATTGCGAATTCTCGACAGCTTTCTTCTTGGCAGTGATTCGGAGGATTCCTTGATCGGACAAATGCGATTCCAAACTGTCTTGCAGTACGTTCTTTGGCATGGTGTATTTCCGAATAAAGTGTTGTTCCACAGAACCATGCCGATCATTTCGCTCCTCGTGATGTCCTTCAACAAGCAGTCTCCCATCCTGCATCTTCACCGACAATTCTTCCGGTCGGAAATTCCTGACATCCAGCTGAATACCGAAATTCTCCTTCTCATCGATAATCTAGAAGACATTTTACAGTTAGGACAGTCACAGTCCGGAAATATTACCGTTGTCGGTGGGATGATAGCATAGGAAATAGAAACGG